CAGCTTGTAAGGTAGGTTTTTCTCAAGAATAAATTTAAGCTTGGAAGTCGTATCGAAGTAATATTAATGAGTTGCTTATAATCATTAAAGATAAACTATATCCAGGATTAGCAGTAAGTAGTGATGTAAGGAAAGTTGATGTTTTGCTAACACATTTCATTTCAACAAAAATTGTCAGGAAAAAAACAAGAAAATAAGGTGAGGAGGTTCAAGAGTATAACTGTGTTCCAGCTGATGCCTGGCAAAGTGTCAAATTGCCGCTGTCACAAACATGACGCGCAACAAATGAGGTTTTGCCACCTCGTTATTACAATAGCCATTTCACAAAGTAGTGTACCCATATGACATGTTGCATTATATTTCGTTGCAGACGGCCACGAGTATTTAGCCTCACCTTTTTTTGTTTTAGAATGCTGATGCGAGGCCTTGGGGGCAAGTTAACTGGACAGGAGCACAGTTGGCTGTTGAGGTTAACCTCTTCGACTAATAGCTTATTTATCAATAATTATTATTTTATAGCGGACCATTAACATGGATTGTATAATTGTGTTCCGTCAAATGAGAAAGAATATCATACAATTCTACGTCATTTACTCGAAGACCCACAAGTTCGCTATCCTTTGCGACGGAAACATCCGCTTGAACATAGGGCAATGGGCTAGGTATAACTAATTCTCAGGTTACTTATAATTGAGAAACGTTTGTTTTAGATTGCAGTATATAGGAAACGATTTTCGTCGTGGACAAATGTTGCACAGCGGATCGCTACGACTGATTAATTACATAGCAGCACCTCAGTTCATCGTCGCTAAAAAGTTCAAGATGCGAGAAGTAAACGATGATTTTGCGGAGTATATAGTCATTGTGAGTGTTGACTGTATTCTATTCATTTTCGGAAGCATCGCTTTGTTACAGTTTGTCACATTATAATAGACTTTATCTCTCTTGCAGTTAACTTTACGAGCAAAAATTCAAAATCGTGACGGCGATTTGATAATCGAATCAAACGATGTTGGTACAATCAAAGTGGATGCTCAGTGGTCCCCTACCTTCCCAGTACCCGAAGAGTTTCCGAAGGGAGCAGTTGTAGAAGTATACCTAGAATAATATCATTTTTATTATTGCATTTGTTATCAAACATATAGATTGAATTCGTGAGAGACTGCTGGTATCTACGTAAACTTCATGGTCATTGGCATGATGGTTTTGACTTACGAAGGGTTAGGGTTTCTGCTAGATTTTGCTTGCGTATCAACTTCAACAGACGTTTTTCAGCTGGACTCGCCATTTATTGGTCCGGGATACACAGTTGAAGAAACCGAAAAATTTTACGGAAAA